ACAGTGGTCACGTCTTCCCAATAGAACTCGGAGAAGATTCCTCACGAAGCTAGTCACTAGTGAGCACAGGTAATTAATTTGCATTACGGGGTTGTGGTTTCAAAAACTGTGTAACTTAACAATCTTCACAACTCCGTAATGTATATATATATATATATATATATATATATATATATATATATATATATATAGAAAGAGAGAGAGAGAAAAATTCACCTTACTCAATGAACAACTACCAACCAACATGTTAGTGAACTTTCGACCTAATAACAAAAATTATATATTATATTTTGCAAAGAAAAAAATTTCACGAATAAATCTAATTAAATAATCATCATAATAACAACAACTACCATGAGAAGAGCCAAATAGGTAGCGAGTGAGTGAGTGAATGGAGTGACTAAAACAGAAAAATAAGTTAATTCAAAATGGTCTGTCTCAATGATGAACTTGTGTGTGTATACACACACCTACCTAATATAGAAGAATCATCCATCATTAAATCTTGTGATCAAAATTTCACTAACTAATCAAGGTGGTGGTCACATGACAGGAAACACGATGTGCAAAACACATTATATATATATATATATATATATATATATATATATATATATATATATATATATATATATATATATATATATATATATATATATATGCAGTGATGATTGAAGAATTTACAAGTGTACTAAAAGAATTCAAACTATGATAGATAGGCACAGTATGATCGAGGTATAAATGATTATTAAATAAGTATTTTTATCAGTGATGGTTATAATATGATCATGTGATTAGTAAGTAGTTACTTGAATAGTAAGTAGTATAGTGATTGCTTCTGATAAAATAGAGCATATAAGTAGTATGCAGCAGATTATCGCTTATAATTTGCTGACAGAGAGAAGCTTGTTGGGAGATTTAAAATGTTAGGCGTGAGTGATCAGAGGTGCTTTGAAGATTAGAATAGAGGGAAGAGAAGAAGACAATGAATAACCTGTTTGTATTATTAATAGATAACTTCGCCTGGATGCAGATGGACGAACTGTGGTGAACTTGGCAGATGATCGGGCGGCTGATGAACAACTATGTGTATGAGTAGGGCATTCCATTAGTTCTTGTGCTCTTGTTACACATAATCGTTATAAGTATCACTATTGGGTAGTAGTAGGTAAAGTGTGCAATGACTGACTTGATAAAATACAGTGACAATTGTTTTAATGTGCTTGATAAGCTTTGAACTAACTTTGAACGAGAGCTCAATAGCATAGCGGAAAGTTTATTTGGCTACAGAATCAAATATCTAAATGTACATTCTTTCCCCTTAGCGAATGAATCCATTTCTTAACCAATGATATACATTCGTCTTTTTTTTGGGACATTTCTAATTGTCATCAAATGACTTGTTAGTTCGCTCTCTTCTGATTGGCTCTCTGTTATTAACGAAGTTTCTATTAAAACCTACTCTGATTTCACCAATAACAGAGTTGCTTTTTTTGTACTATATCAATCGATTTTTTTCTCAGTTGAACTTTAAACTTAAACTAGAACTGATAAATTCGATCAAGTGTATTCATACTTGTAAGATTTTTCTTTTTATACGTTTTGAAAATCATAGAAATGCTAACTATTGACAATGGTTCTCTTAGGTTACACGGTTCATTGTCCAATATACTGATCCTCAGCGTTAGCGGTATGTAAATTTCGAATGAATTTTTTTCCGATAAACTTTCAAACTTCTTCTTACCATTTAATAATACCTAACGTTAATAAATGTGTATTCTAAATTTGAAATCATGAATCGATCAAAGTTAGATCACCTTTAGAAACCTGGAAGTACTGGGACTCATCAGCAGTGCGCATCCAGGACTGCTGCACCTCGCAGCATTCGAACCCAGTACCTTCGGTGCTGTACGCGAAATCGTAACGTCCGAACCACTGGGCCGGTGTCAAATGGTGTTGATGGACGAAGCGGCCATCCAGTGCTTGCAGCTTTCTAATGGTGGTCTAACTTTGATCGATTCATGATTTCAAATGTATAATTTAACAATCTTTACAACTCCGTAATTCTTATTCAACAAATTAACCTTAACTATCTGTCCAGTAGCTCGATGAAGGGATCAAATGCGAAGAGGATTCGATGCATTTTGTTTGAAAACAACAAACAAATGTTAGAAATCGAATAACGTAGTTAACAATATTTTCAATGCATTCAAAACACATTCTCATCAATAAATTTGAATGCGAAATTAGAGTAAAACATACTACTGAAACAAACGGCATATATATATATATATATATATATATATATATATATATATATATCACTAGTATTGGTAATGTTTTCCACCAACTTGTCTTCTCATAATCATAATGTTACATAAATCATTTTAACTGTGGATTCACAGAAATGTTTTCTTCAAATAACTACGCGTGTCAGTGGTTTTCTTGTTTGTTTTTTTTTTTCATGTACACAAACAAACACAAGGTATAATATTCTCTTCTCCACTTCTCTCTCTCTCTCCCTTTCTCTGTGTACATGCTTTGTGAAATCGTTATTTACCAGTAAACTGAATGGTCATTTGTAGATTTTGTTCATTTACTAATATTCTGCCTATTTTCACTTATAGTCAACGTATATGTATGTACGTATATATGTATACCGCATATTTCAATTCTACATTATCACAGGTCACACTATAGTATCCTGCATGTTTGTTTGTCACTTCAGTCAGCTAACAAATATATATATATTCATATATTTCGTTGATATGTATCAAAGAGATTTTTGTCGTATATTTACAGATTGTTTTCACTTAAAATGATCTGAATGATTTATATGAAAGTGAAAAACATTTGAGGAGTACTGTTAAAGCGGTTTTAATGTTATGATAATGAAATAAACATAATTTAGTTGAACTACTTACTAACTTACGTATGTTTGTTAACTTTAATCGAGTATAATAGGTAGCTAACCAGAATTCTGCAACCCACTCTATCCTGGGCTTAGTTTTCTAGTTCAGTTCAATAGCTGTTCATTCTTCTTCTCATGTCTGTCTCCATTTCTTGGCGTAATGTGTTCCGAGGTCTTCCCTTTTCTTGTTGGTCTTAAGGATTCTAACTTAGTTAAATACAAGCTGTAAGTAAGTGGGCTGATCTTCAAAGTTGTATTTTGTAACTTCTGAACAACATCGTTTCTAATGTCGACGAACACTGACAAGTATGGGTTTTCTATAATTTCTTTAAATAATTTTAACTACTTATATACATATAAGTAGCCTAAGACTTTGGCTAAAATGTTTACCAAAGATTGTATTTCGGGCAAATCGTTGAGTTGTTAATTAACAAGTTATCAAAGCATGTTCAGATAAAAATGATTTTCCCGAATGAGGATTGTCCTTCAGAGTTTCGGCTTCACCGTAAATTTCGTAGTTTTTTAAAGTTATTTTATCAAGCCTTCAATTTGTTATTAAGTATTTCAATGGACAATTACAAATAAACTTAGAATACTGCAATTAGATACTATAATTTGGTATTAACAATAAGCAGTTTGTACAAACATTTGTTGAAGAACATTGAATCTTAATAAAGAAACCTGGATTTTATTTACTTACTAGTTTATGTCAGTCAGTCAGTCAGGTGCATATGTGACTTCATACGAAATGTTATTTGTGATCCAGAGGCTGTTAAACTTTGTTTTTAAGTTATTTGGAGCAAAGTGACTGTACATATTTCCTAAGAATCAAATGGCAAGGTTTTTTATTCAGTTACAAGAGCCTCGAATCAACTGTTTCCACGGGTTCTTTTATATTACCACTTTTTGTCCGTTACAATAGAATCATCTCTCTTTATTCGGTTTAGTTGAGTTTGTAGATCCGACTGTCATAATGATCGACAATGAGTTCTAGGTATCCTACTTTTTCTACTACATATTAAATCAGCTTTTGAAATTGTAACCGTTGTTCGATCAGTTTGCAAGAATGTCTTCTCACTTAAATTTATTCATTTTATTCATCATTTAGAATATGATGTACCATTACTTACTAATTTACTCCTGTTTCCCCTAGTGGAGCATAGGCCGCAGACCAGCACTTTACAACCTACTCTGTCCTGTGTCCTATTTTCCAGTTCCTATCTAATTGCCATTCATCTTTTTTTCATTTTTGTCCCTATTTCTCGGCGTAATGTGTTTTATGGTCTTCCTCTTTTCCTTTATCCCCGACTATTCCAAGTAGGGGCCTGACTTGTAACTCGGTTGCATGCTTTCCTCAACATGTTTACCATTCACTTCCAACAATTCTTCCTAATCTTCTCTCCCACTGGATTTCGGTTTGTTATCTCCTACAGTAGGTTGTTGCTGATGGTATCTTGACAACGTATGCGATGTATTTTTCATAAACAACTGTTAATAAGCACTTGTATCTTCTGGATGATGGCTATCGCATTTCTCCAAGTTTCTGCCCCATACATTATAACCGCCTTCACATTTGTATTGAAAATTGTAATTTTTGGTGTTAGTTGATGTTTGGTTTGAGTTTCGGATGTTGTTTATTTGTAGAAATGCTTCCCATGCTTTGCTAATCCAAGCCTTTACATTAGCATTAGATCCATCTTGTTCATCAGTGATGCTCCTGACATATGTACAGGTTTCTACATCTTCCAATGTTTCTCCATCAAGTGTGATTTCGTTAGTGAATGTTATATTGTTTCGCAGGATTTTGCTTTTTGCATTGTCTATGTTGAAGAAGCTGCTGCTTCATTGGCCATCTTCTCTTGCATTTGTCGTTGTTGTTGTGTGTGTCTATGTGTGACCGAAGGACTCTAATTCATCTGTGAAGTCCATATTGTTCAACTGCATCCAAACTCTCCGCTATATTACGACGATGACTTCTGCTTCTTACTGATTTTAATTTCTTGTAGTTTTTTTTTTAAAAAAAAATTAAAGTAACTTACTACCTGTATGAATTTAATCATTATACTCTTTTGATTTTCTCATATTTCAGCTAACACTGCAGTACCGGGATTCTTTCCATTACAAACTGGGTAAGATTATTATGAGATTTTATTTTGTATTCTATTCGTCTTGTAATAATATATAAATTGTTATGAAATTTGTGATTAGTGAATACATTTCACTCTTTCAAAACCTATTGCTGAAATCTTGTTTAAATCTGTGCAATTCCAAAAAATTTTTCCGCATATTTTCTTGATTAAACTGATGAGTATAGTACAATTAGCTTTTATATTTATGGAGATATATCTTTTGTAAACTTTTAGTTTAACTCAAATATAATTCGTGTATATATATATCTACCGGTTTATCATTGTACAGTGTCATTTTTTTATCGTTCACTAGCACCTATTATACAGTTGGATCTGAATTGAGCCTTTGATACAATAGTTTATGTACAATGAATATTAATCCAGTGATTGACAGAGTCCAATGTCATACAACCTATTGAGGTTTACTTGACTGAAGTAGTAGTAGTAGTAGTAGTAGTAGTAGTAGTAGTAGTAGTAGTAGTAGTAGTATGAGTAGTATGAGTAGTAACAATAGTAGTATCGTTAGTTATCATTTATTGTACAGTTTAAAAAAATATGTTGTAAAAACTAGCATGTATTGATTATTGTTAGTCACCGCGCTCACGTTCTGTCTGCTAATCCTTCTACTACCAACTTTACTACTACTCTGGAATTCGAATTGACAATACCATTATTTCTGTGTGTGCTGATGTTTTAGTATGGCAACTTGAACTAATATACTCCTGTTATTTACCAAGTTCTACATTCTAGTTGACTGACTTACTGATTGACTTACGTTATTTTACACTCTGAATTGCTGATCATGATTATTATTGTTATTATTTTTCATTGTGGTTTTCCCTCTCAACCGACTCATGAATATTATGATGAAACTTACATTTTACTATCTGTCTTCAATGAATGATCGTTCATTCTTTACAACCATAGGTCGCTGATCTTGGTCGACAATGTCCACTGCTTTGTTAGCCTTCAGTAATAAGGATTGATGTGATTTCTTTACAGATTTATTTCCCAGCAGATTATTCAGCTTCTCCTACGAAATTTTCACCCATGCGATTATATATTAAAATATTTCTTGACTTATATCGAAGTAACTGAGCCTACTCAAAAATAAATTCATTCCGTTATTTCTGATTAATATTGAAAACAGTTGTAATTGTTTATCTAAATAAACGGGTTCATATATTGCAGTTAAAACGTAATCAATCTTATGAAGAAAATTTACGAATAATTGAGTAGCGTTTGAGTTATTCCTTAGTAAATATCGATGAATGTTTTACAACATAGAACTTTAGTGTTCTCACTCTTGACAATTTATTAACTTACTTAGCCCTATTATCTCTCGTGAAGCATAGACCACCGAACAGCATTCTTTAAACAACTCTGTCCTTCGATCTCCTTTTCAGTTGTTCAAAAGTTCCGTTCAGTCTTTTGATGTGCACCTTCTACTTACGGTACAAACTTCTGTTTGGTCCACCTCTTCGCATTCAAATGTCATGAATTGTCTGGTAATGCTGTTCGGTGATCTTCTTAATGCGTTCCATACCCACTTTCAGTGCATTTTCCTAATTTCTTTCTCAGCCGGAGTCCGCTTTGTCCTCCCCCACAGTTGTTGATAGTGTCTGACCGACAGATCCTTAGTATCTTGCGTAGACAAATGTTAATAAACACTTGTATCTTATGGGTAATGGCTTCAGTTGTTCTCCAAGTTTCCGCTCATGAGATTTTGAGAGAAGTATTGATTTTATTTTATCACCTTGTTTATTAACTTGAGCGCATGTTGGAGATCGAAATTATTACCGACTCTTATACGTTGAATGATATCGAATCTTTCGAGGCTCAATCCCTAGAATTAAAGAGACTGTTGGAGGTGTATGGTTGCATATATGAGCTGTATCGGTCTGGGTCTATGTAGTTTATGTGAGTAGTTATATGCAGAGGATATCCTTTAGGTCTTGTATACGTAGGAACGCCAGCTGAATAATCTGCCCTAAAACAAAACCAATAAAAAAAACAGGTCTGTGAATAAAAAAATAATGGGTGGCAAATAGAATGCTTGTGCCCAACTACCTATTTTGAAGTGCTTCGAAGAAAGCTTGGGTGTCGTTAGTATGTAGGTAAAATATGAGAAGCAGTCTGTGGTAGCAAATACTTGCATGGGAGTAGCAATCATTTGTAATCTCAGGGGATTGTTATACCTTTGTTAATACCAAGGAATGTATAAGGTGAAAACGCGTGTGTTTTTAGTGTGCATGTATGGTATACTTGACCTCTGGGTTATATGTGTCTGTCTGTATGTATGTATGTCACCAGATATATGGGGTGAGAACTCATGTGTTGCTGTTATTCATGTAACGTACACTTGCTCCCGGTGCGAAGCTCATGCGCCAAGATCCTCGGAATTATCGTTCCTCACAAAAGTACACCCCGTCGATGGGTCTATGTACCTCGAAGCATTACTCTTCTAGAAACGCCACTTGATATGGCCAAATGATGTTTCACTATCTGCTATATCTGGAAAACCACCATCTCTCTCTCGAATAAAATGATGCCAAGTACTATGTACTATGTATTTTATAATTATTTTGATCTGTACAGTACAGGAATAAGTGTAGTAAATAATCTCTTCCATTAGATCACTTTTTTTCATTGAAATAGTAAACTGATCCATTTTGGATAATCATTAGGAAACTGGAAGCACTGGATGGCCATTTCGTCAGCAGCGTGAACCCACGATACTGCAAGAGGTAAATCGAATACAAGACTGTTGATTTCACGTGTGAACACCTGACCTGTTGATCACTGACCCAGCATCCAACAGTCTTAATTTCTAACTCCAGTCGATCCACGATATTTCATAACCATTATTCACTATCTTAAGTCGGCAACTGTCTCACACCCGAAACGGTTGTAATCCACTGATCACGCCTTCTCACTAAGAGGTTACGCATTTGTGCGCTTGCCCGCAGGTCCTGCATTCAACTCTCGCTCGCGCGGTCGTGTATCCGTGCTGCTTATGAGTTAGCTATCCAGTAGTTTTAGATTTCAATGATTGTCAAACATTGATCACTTCATGATTTCGAAATAAAAGTAAAATCACTTGATTCATTTAAATTAAATCTTGCCCAATACCCATATCATATCATGCGTTTAATTTCCTGGGTGTATTGATTATTTCACTTAAGCATTATTATATAAAATGTGACATTAACTTCGATTCTTTTTCTTTGTTTTTCTCACAAATAATCTCTTATCAATATCATTTATATTTTCTAAACCTCAACAACAACAAGGTTTGGTTACGTGGATTGTGTACACTAGACATTTCACATTTATTGTGAATCATGTCCTGGTAGGCCATTTTCAATAACTGTTGTGAAGTTCCCTTTAGTTGGGTTTATTAGTGTGCCGTTTTGTGTTTCTTTGGTGTTTGTTTGTTCATGTGTGTGAGTGTGAGTGTGTGTGTGTGTGCAAGTGCAATTGTGTACATTTACATGCATACTTGTTGTATACAACATGTAAAAATTAAAAGAACTCCCATAAGAGAATTATTATAAAATGTTGTTTGATTGGTTACTTTTCTTCAATACTGTATATTTAACTTACTTACTGGCTGTCGTGAGATTTGTCCCTTTGAAATGACGCAGTTTACTAACAATTACCACCTCTATCAGTACAACAACAACAACAACAACAACAAAACTAAGATAAATTCAAACAATTTCCTCCAGTTTTAACAATGTTCATTGTACAATCTTCAAAATCATTTATCGATCTCAATATGTTTTTTTTTATTTTCTGTTGGATAAAAGAAAATCTTTTTGAAATCATGAATCGATCCATGTTGAACCACTCTATCGGAAACCTGAAAGCACTGGACGGCCGTAGATGCTCACTGCTGATGATGAATAGTCTCATCCCATGACGAAACGGCCCTCTTTTTCAATGCTTCCAGGTTTCCGATCCGGTAGTCTAACTAACATTGATCAATCAATACATCATTTCAAAAAGTAACTCAACAATCCCATAATGTAAAGAAAATCTAATAATCACAATAACAATAATAATAATTATTATTATAATCATCCTTTATTATAATATAATTCTTGTTTGTGATGTGATTTTAGTGTGTACTTATTCCACTTGCTTTCTTCACAATTCATTGAGTGCTGTGTTGTTGTTGTTTTTTCTTTTTTTTTGAGTTGTGATTTGTTTTCGTTCTCTTTTGTTCCATGTTTTCTCATTCGATGAATAATTTTTTTTTTGGTTTTTCATCTACTACTTTAATGTTATTTCTCATTAGTGTGATGTAAAACCCATTACATTTCTCATGCCATTTATTTTGTCTACACTAGATGATATTGACTATTATTGATCAATGATCAATGATCAATGGTTCAACTGTCAATGTATTATATTTTTGATGATCAATATTATTATTATTATTATTATTATTATTATTATCGTTGTTAATACAGGTATTAGTTGTAGCTATTGTAATGAATAAAAAAATTTCGACTTGACTAACAAGTATGACAACGTATACACTTATTTTTACACAAGAGATTGATTGTAGCTTGCACGGGAATCCATTCATTCGTGAGGTCCATTAGCTGGATATGCCTGTGTCCTAGTGTTGTTGCTTAATCCAGGACTTGAAACCGATACCCTTCACTTTCAATGCTGAACGTGTTTATTCATTGAGTAATCTGCACAAACTGTATATTTACGAATGAACCAAGATTGATCAAAATTCAATCAGCAGCAACAACAGTGTCATGATCCAATCACATTAGAATAATGGTATGATATCTCTGTTGGTTTACATGCTACCACTCAACTACTTCACACATATACTAGACATTGGACATTGAATTTCGTGAATACGGATATTCACTGTTCAATTTTTATCAATCAACTAATTAAACAACACAACAATTAGGCGGTTAATAGGTGTCATTGATCTACTCAACCATAGCGTTTCTGTCATTTTCTGTTTATCATATTCAACGCTACAGCTGTTTACCTGGTTAGGGTTCGCGAGACAATAGTAACCGGTGGTTAGAGATCCCGAATGACATGGCTCAAAAAATCGTTTGCAATGGCACAGGTGCATTCACTCTTTGTGTTCTATGAAATTATAAGCTGCTGAATTCCTCATGACCATTCTTCTCTAAATTTATTTCATTGGATTATACTTCTTGAATAATATATTCAATCACTAATCTTCTCTATTAGCGCTAATACTTCTACTACAGCTACCACTATATGATTTGAATTGACCATTACGTCTTTGCGCTAATGTTTAGGGCGACCGTAAATTGATGTAGGTACGTACGAAGTTCTACGTTGTTGCTGACTGACTGACTGCTACAGCCGAACACACAACAATATTAGTATAGAGATATAGCGATTACTGAACTTTGAGATGGCGAAAATTTGTAGCTCAGGTGAATGATTGTGGTGGTATCTCGTTCTTTGAGCTCGATATTTTGGTTGTAAACTCACTGGTGAGGATTTCCGTACTAGGATGAGGCACCTGTTCCAGGTTTATACTAGTTGTCTAACTAATGTTGGTTCGTGATTTCAATATGATATTAGAATATGGCTAAGTGGTAAAGGTGTGGCTGGAAGTAGAGGTGCATAGTAAAGTCAAATTTATACAGATTAAAACCATTGTAACATTGACTAGTCCGTGATTATGAACGGATGACATTATTGTACTCACATTGTATCTTTCAAAAATAAACACATTGTTTATCTAATCAAATCGAGAATGAGGTTTTGATTCCAAAATTTTCCAATGTCCGCTTTATAGTTTTCCTTCATGTCACATTGTACCAATAATTTGGCAATGAATTCCCCTTAATTTAAAAAAAACATTCCCCTACTTATCACTTTGCTTATTATTTTTTAATAAGCACTCTTTTAAAATGAACAATTCTGATTACTTGATTTAGATTGATTGTGAAATACTTCATGACTACCATCTCACGGACCCCAACCACGTAGTCAATACATACCAACATGACTCAATCCAGTTGTCAGCGACTTCATGGATATGTGACATGTTTTTGTCTGACCACCCCTAGCTTTCTTTAATCCTACTCCTACATCACAAAACATAGCTCTTCGAGGCAGTCGGTGGTTGGACATTAGTAGCACATGTTCCAAAGAACTCAACTGATGAAGTTTCACTACTTCATCTATTGATCTGCCATCCTTACCTAGTACTTGCTTCCTAACGACAGCATTGATTACTTGGCTGACCCAGGATATACGAGCAATGCTTCTAGTACATCTATAATCGAATACTAATAACCTACGAATGTCTGCCACTCTTACCGGCTATGTTTCACAGCCATAAATTAGGATAGACCGAACTGCTGCGTAATACACTAATCCTTTAGCTAGCAAACGGAATATCTTGCCTACCCTATAAGTGACGCAAGTTTCCAAAAGCCAATCGAGCCTCCTGTATCCGTGCTGAGATTTCGTTAGTCACTAGGCCATCAGCACTAATGAGACTGCCGAGATAAGTGAATCGGTAAGTACGCTTAACCACTTCACTGCCTATCACTAGTTCAGCTACCGACGCAAGCCAATCTTGAAGCGACATCGTGCATTTCGACGTTGAGAGTCATATTCTCAACATGTTGAACTGAATAGTCATTTTTCTATGCATTTGTATATGATTTATCAATTTAATGTGGACTAAATTTACCATTAACTATGTATTAAAATGAACCATCACAGATCTATTCTCCTACTAAGTTTTTGTTTCTAAATTTAAAAATAAATTAAGGTGGAAACGATTTATTATTCATCAGATTTAATTGGTAAACTTTCTTGAACATTTACTTCGACTTCGTTTGAACAACAGTTTTGGATTAGTGGTTTTATCCTTTTCTTTAATTTGAGTTACGGAGATTAGTGTTTGTACACATTGAAATCATCAATCAATCATTGTTAAACTTCCGTTAAAAACCTAGAAGCACCGGACGGCCGTTTCGTCCTGGCATGTACAGTGTGCATTCACGACTCCTGCTACTCACAGGATTCGAACCCAGGACCATCAATCTTGTGCGCGAACGACTAACCTCTGGACCATTGGGTCGGCATCCGACGGTATCGATATTTAACTCTGATCAATTTGTAGATTTCACGCTATCTCACCCATTTGTCTTCGGTAGTTACTGCCTACATCAGACTGGATTGAACTCTACCAGCAGGTGGTTCTAATCCATGAAATTTAATCGGCAACCTTGATTCACTATCGTTTTATCTGTTGCTGATTATACATCATGTGTAATCCAGAAATTATACACGTATCACTAATAACAGAATGTTGTTAAACATAGAACAATAAAATTCAGGTTTTAATGTAATTATTAGTTTTCAAATTTTCTGTAAAAATAAACGATTCTTTAAAATATCTTATAGTGAGTGATATTGACATTTGATCAAGGTATTTTTACAAAGACAAAATTTATCCGCCTCATAACAATATATATTGATAGATGAATAAGTTACATCATAAAACTGACGACTTTCTATTACAGGTTTCAATGTTCAAACAAGCATAGATAAAATATGCCATATATAATACTGTATATTTTTCTAATAGTTAAATTAAAAGTTCCCATTTAGCTGAATTTTTAAAAGTTTCCAATTCACGCAACACAAACTAATTTTTTAAAGTGTCTATTAATGTTTTATCCTATGTAGCTTTACATGTTGTTGTGAATGCACCAAAATCTATGCATGCTGTGTAGTTGACATTGAACAATCAACTACATTAAAATGTATTGTTCATTATTCAATGTTTTCTTCTTGATCAAGGTTGAATTTTCTAAAACAAAACAAAAAACGATCAATATTCATACAGAGTGTTGTTAGCTTTATACACTCAATTTAATCTTCTAATCGTTTACCAATCAATATTATGGTGTGTGTGTGTGTGTTTTTCTTTCTTCCTAAAGCTTACCTATCGATGCTAGTCATGCAGGTCTGTATAACAATCCTGCAGCTGCAGCAGTTGTCACGAATTCTTTAATGAATCCATTAATGAATGCCAACTTGTTAACAGGTTTCAATATGCCAAATGGTGCTACATTACCACCGGGAATGAGTGGTCTATTACAAACACCAACTAATCCAATGTCATCGGTAACCAATGATCTAACATCGGATAATCGATTACAAACACAAATCCCATTGAATTCACTTGCTAGTTTAAATTATTTGCTGAATTATTCAAATGCTATTGGCAATCCATCATCTGGATCGTCTGCGGCAGCCGCCGCCGTTGCAGCAGCTCTCGCTGCAACAGCTAATAACAACCAACAAAATATTTCACCAGCTACACTAGCATTATTAATGTCTGCTTATGGACAAGGTACAAATGGATTGAATACTATACTGCCAGCTAATAATTCATTTGTAGGAATGTCACCTGCTACACATCAGTCATTGAATGCAACTAGCCTACCAGTAACAAGTTTATTAAACTTAAACTCAACTACATCAAATACACCAAGTTTAAATGTATTAACAGGAGGTAGCCAATCTGTGTCACCATTTTGTAGAACATTCACTCCAGACGTTTCACCGAATGATTTGAATGCTTATTCCGCTGCTATGGCTTATCAACGTCTACTTAATAATATGGCATCAAATTATCAAACAATTCCATCATCTTTATTTACACCGGTGAATTCAACGAATTCACTATCAAGCGCTTTGCTTAACAATCAATTCACTGCAAATTCAAATCAAACTATGAATTTCAACACCAACAATAACAATACTATGACTAATCATCACACATCGAATAACACTATCAATAGTGTATCAACAGATCAATCCAATTCAATGCCTTTAATATTTCCATCGACATCGCGTAATTTAATTCCATTCACATCAGATATCAATCATAATAATAATACATCATATGATTATGGTAATTCACAAGAACTATCGGCTAATATTCATTCTAGTCTAACAACAGGTCAACAACATTCAACAACCAATGCTACACCTTCACCACTTCGTGATGGTATGGAATGTGTGAATGCATCAGTCAATTTTTAACTAATAAAAGAATTTAAAAACTGGTAACCTTCATCTTGTTTGTACTTTGAAGAGAACAACCATAATTACTTGTTTCTTGTTTTTTTTCCAACTTCAGGGTGATCAAAATTGTAAATTGTCACTTACATCTTTTTTTGTTTGTTGTTTGTTCTCTTTACACTTATTCTTCATTGTAATTGATTGACATCAATGAAACTATTGTAAGCAAGAAAATAAGGGAACCCTAACCAACATAACTTTAATGTTTATCTTATTTTTCTGTCTATCTAGTTAAACTCTTCTCTCTTTATTTTTCATGTCAACTAATAGACCAACTTGTGATGATGATGTTGACCAACAGGGAGGGAGAAAACAAAATCTGTGATTCTTTCCAATATCCTTTTGATATTACTAAAATTTTGTAGAGAGAGACTGCATGTAGAGTAAAGTTTGTTTGTTTTTTTCTCTCCGCTAAAATCATCTCTTCATGACACCATCTTATTTTATTGATTTACTTACTTGTCTTCTTCTTCTTTCTCTCTCTCATTATTCTGATGACATTGTTGTTCGTTGTTTTATTTTTTATGCAGGCGCGTTGTATGAATATTGTTTGTAAGTCCTAATGAATAGTTAAATTATTTCAGTAATGATCAGACAGAATTAATAATAATGATAATCTTTGTTTTACCTCAGCTTAAAGCATAGAAAGGAAGTTTATTTCTAGAAAAAAAAGCAAGACAATAAAACCAATCGGTTATTTGTATAATTTTCTGTTTTCTCTTTTTTTATTAATAAAACAAAATCAATCATCAATTTGGAACAACAATGGAAGAAAAAAAAAGTCTTATTGGATTAATGTTTTAATGTGTGCTATCTTTTGCTAGTTGTAAGGTAGCAGAAGTTGTGGATGTACGCTGGCATTGATGAGTAGTGAGTGCCATAGGTAGGATGGAAACGAGCTTTAGGTGGTTTCAAGTTTTTAAATAGTGATTTATGATTTAGTTAGGTATTCAATTGGATTTACTTTTAGTAGTAAAGTTATCGTTTATTTCACTGAACTCAGAAATTAATTTAAACTAGACCCTTATGAAACAACCGTCTATTGCTTTTAGATTTTCAATAATAGACTGACTTAGATTGATTTGTAACTCAGAACGGATAGATAAGGCTCGATTGAATTTTGCCAAGTTGCGTCACTTATGGCACAGGCGAGATATCCGTTTACTAAGTAAAGAACGAGTGTACTGTGCAACTGTTCACTCCGTCCTACGATACGGATGCGAAACATGGACGGTGAGATTTGAGGACATTCGTAGATTGCTTGTCTTCGATCATCGGTGTCTCCGAAGCATTGCTTGTTTATCCTGGGACAACCGAGTAAGCAATGCTGTCGTTAGGAAACGACTACTAGGTAAGGATGGCAGATCAATAGATGAACTAGTGAAACTTCATCAGTTGAGGTGGTTGGGACATGTGTTACGTATGCCTAACCAAAGACTGCCTCGGCAAGCTGTTTCGTGGTGTAGGAGTAGCTTGGAAAATAGCTAGGCGCGACCAAACCAAAACATGGCACAAATCCATGAAGTCACTGACAAGTAGACTGAGTCATGTTGGTAGATGTAGGCCACCTGGTTGGGGTCCGCGAGACGTAAGTCACCAATGGTTAGAGACCTAGAACGACATGACTCAAAATCGTTTGCAATGGCGCAGGTGTATCCACTCTTTGTGTTCTCTCAAATTATCACCTGAATTCTTCATCATCTCTATCTTTCTCTTTATAACTATATCTCACTTAATTATATCCTAATCTTCTCCATTACTGTTAATACTTCTACTATCTCTACCACTATGGGATTTGAACTGACAGTTGCGTCTCTGTTTTCCTGATGTGGTATGGCAACCTAAACTAATGTACATAAGTACGAAGTTCTGTGTTCTGTCAGTGTGATTTGTAACTTCAAAGAAATTCAACAATCTTCACAACCGCATACTAACAGTTGAAGAATACAAAGACTTGTATAAAATTCGAAAGTGAAATATATTACAAGCGAACATCATGGATGAATTGTGTATCCTTGTTCTGAAGTCAGTAAACATTTTATCAATCATATTAGGGAATATCATCGAAATGTCTAGTTGAGATTTGTTAAGGGCACTGACTGACTAAGAATACGTTGACGATTTCATGACTTCTGCAGAGTTCTCACAAATAATAACTAATATCTAGCATAATTAAAAACAGTCAGTACTGTATGCGCATAACTATTGTCATTTCATAGTGAATCCTGTAGGCGTTTAAAAGATCACTCATTGATAAATACTAACATGCATTTTCAGTATAAGTTGGTGAAGTCATTCTGAATCACTCTGTAGATTTGGGAATTAAGTGGCATTTGTATACATTTAGCCAAGTTTGCTGAACATAAGTAGGTAAGTCTGAGAATTAGACGACAGTTTTTTGGACATTTCTGGTTCAATCGAAATTCAATGTACATTAGTTATGGTGATTGTTTCCTTGAGTGTGATAACAAAAGTATTGTTAGAGAATAAACTTTAGCTGGTATATCTTATCCTCAACACTGCGAATGTTAGTCTAGCGTGTACTTAAAATATTTTGACGGGTTACATGTTTTACCTATACGAGTCTAAGCATCATTGATTTACAAGGTGTTGAATGCCCAAAACTGTCGAATTTAAGATTTTTTACCCTATCTTGCTTCTGAACGTTTAACTTCAGTCAATTTTAGGTGTTCACTTCGTTTCATTTTCTATTAGAAAATGTAGCCAGATACTAATATTCCACTCAGACAGTTTTTATATCTTTTGATCCGAAGTTTTTTTCACATTCAACAGTAATCTCATGATTTATACAGGCTGAGTAATTTCATATTCTGAAATAACTATTCCTGTTAACGTAGATAGTGATCGTGCAGTTTGACTTATTCGGGTTAGACAGACTACTTTATTGTACAAATGCATATATGATGGTGGTATTCGACGCTTTTAAGAGTCATGGCTACAACTTTTGTTCGTGTAGTTTTCTTGTGACACCTCATTGTGAAACGCTATAGAACATTTGACTAAACAGTGGGATTAAACAAATTTTGTCAAGGTCCTGAACGATCAAGAGATCTTTAGGCACTACTTTGGCTTTTTAAATTATATGCAGACAATTGCACTTCAATTTGCTGATCTGGTTTTTCTGAAATCCAGCAATCCTAATATTTCGCACATGCAGCCGTTTATTAATATTTTTCGTCTTTTTTGATAGTGGGCGTGATTCACCAAGAGTCAGCTCCGCAAGTGTGATTCAGCCACGGACCACTGTGTTGTGCTTCAGAATACTGCTTTTGAATTTTTAAGTGCTAAGTACTTCTGATGCGCTAACTGTCTCCGTGTACATTTGTTCCTATGTGTAAAATAGAGGGGTTAAGTCGTCCGCAAGTTCTGGGCTCCAAGCATACTTTAAACTAACCTTGCTAAATCTCTTGTCATGATGAAGTCCCATATATTGATTATATGCCCTTTACAGGGTGAAGATGAATGATCTTCGTTGTCAATAAGGATGTGTCGAATCCACCCAGACCAAATATTTGGACAGCAAGCATACAAGACCTCATGCACTCAGCATCCTCAGTTTATTGAACATTAAAACCAGAATCTTTGATTACAACGGCCTGGAAATCGTTCAGAAATTTTTGAACTTGAAGTACACTAAGAAGTAAGAGAATTTCCACAACGTAGCTCGGAAATTAGGTTCTCACCCTTTGCCGTAATAAGAAAGGAATATGGAAGAAATTTAGGACATTTGGTACTGATCAGACACAATCTCAACATTAAGAAGCTCGAAATACTTATATCTCAGCCTTTCGCAAACCTAGAAGATTGTATGATAATCTGGTAATTATTGAGTCTACAAAATATTCGAAAAACTGATGACTTCCCTGGTATACGATTATCGGCTTATTTTGTGTTGACGACATCAGGATACCGCAAGTAATGAAAAGTTAAGGTGATAGTCTGCAGTTTCAAAATATCCGGCGAATATTAACTAGATGGCCCAGAATTTGGCGGTTGCCGACAAATGCTCCCAAGTGCATTGCCACTACCGAATTACGAGTAACTGTTTTGGGCGTAGAACTAACAAACCAAAGTTTATTTGGTTAAGCCAAAAGACTCTTTTCTCTGTATTATTCAAGGCGTTTTTGAGTGCCTCGTCATTGTAGGTGTGGTCTCTTTATGCAATGTCTTTCTTTTCATACTATATATATATTATTCTAGTCTCAGACCAAATGAGTTCGTTGATTGATTAAATGCATACTGCTGAATGTCATGATTGAACTATTCAGTATGGTTAGTAATGTGACGGTTATGTAGGATCTCGCAGATTAGATGGTCGTAACCTGGAACGTTTCCAACTGTGGAATAGGTTTATTAGTCTAGTAGCATAGATTAGAGCACTAATGAAGGCCAAGACTTAAAACATGCAGAGGTGTCGGTTTAATCTACAGCATAATCGATAATAAAAATATTATTGAAATTTCACCTGGTAGATGTACATTCACGATGTAAACTACTTGATTTGGTGGGTAGTTGATATCTTCGTTAATGATTAACAGGGACCCAGAAATGATAAGTTGAAATGTGTTATTCCTTTTAGTCATATAAGCCTAAGAAAACTAGTGGTGGAATCATTCAAATCAAGTCACTCGCTGCTGCACGAAAGGCTGTTACTGTTGTATGACGTGCTCTTAAGTGTCTGGTAATTTCATGAAACAGAACAAAGAAGAGTGTGAACCAGGTTGTGTAGTGATGGTTAACTTCAGACCATAGTTAAATATCCAGCGATCAAGAAAAGCCGAAGCGACGGATTATTCTGTTTATCTGTTGTGCGACGTGCTATGCCCCGTCAGATAAATCTGTCTTCAAGGGTAGGTATCTGTGTGAACGAGTTGGTTGGCGAGGGAGAACTGTTAACCGCCGTTGTCGGTGTGGATATTTTCTGGAACGGAGATCAGCTGGTTGTTGAGTTTTTCTCGTGATGGGGCTGCCGGTGAGTTGAAGGTATCTAGCAGTATGTCAAGGTGAAGATTTACTCCTGCTGATGGGCGACCCGGAGCTAGCCGTTCGTTTATCGGATTTCGACGACGTGACCATCGATTGTCTCCTACTTCATGCATATCACGCCCAACTCTTCTGACCACTCGAGCTTCTCTCTATGAACGATGGGGTGGGCTGTAGTCACAGGAAAACACAGGACATCCCTCTTCATACGTAGACTACCTTTTCGACTTTGTCTTTACAGATGTTGATGCACTGCTTGGATGCATTAGGCTGTGGATCGTTTTAGGATTTCTACTGGGGACATCTGCTCCGGTAAAGTCTCAAGTGGTGTTGTTCGATGAACGTACAAGAAATTTTGTAACGGTGTCCCCTACCCTTCTGACTTAACCGATGCTCGTTTAAACATATCCACAAATCTTTCCACTAGCCTATTCGACTGCGGATGGTATGCTGGCGACCGTATGTGCTTGATGGCTAGTCGTTGACAGAACGTTTGAAATTGTGCAGACGTAAACTGAAACCGATTGTCAGATATTATCACATCTGGTATGCCATTTCAGTGGGGAGCTGTATTTTCCTACTTGTGGTGGGCGGCAATACACGGCTGATTTCTGGCCTTTTTGAGGGGGCATCGACGACAACCAAAAACCTCGTTATATTAATCGGCCCCGCGAAGTCGATGTGTATCCTGGACCAAGGGTGATCAGGTTATTGGCCATGAAACCGGCGGAACACTGGCATTCCCACCTGTCGCTTGCTGACACCACATGCATTTTCCAACCAACTTGGTGATATGTTGATCCATTAGAGGCCATTATGCATAACTCCTAGCTATGGATTTCATTCATCTAATTTCTGCCGGGAACTGTCTCAGCACTTTTGCGCAAAGGGATTCTGGCACAGCCACTCTTTCTCCAAACATCAAGCAGTCATTTACAGTTCATAGTGAATCCGGCTGCTGATACAGCAGCTTCATGTCACCATCAAACTTCTTCGATGACCAACTGTTGATGACAGCTCATTGTCATCCTGATAATGGGGTCATTCCTAGGAGCATTTCTGTGTCTGTTGCAGACACCAGCAGTGCCAGTGTTACGGTTGTCATATAACATTCCGCATGGTCTTCTACTGACAGAGATGAGATTAGCGTGTTTTCCTCAGCCGTCACTTGATCATTAATGAGTCCAGACAAAGCGTCTGCTCGACCGAATTGTAGTGTGCGTCGATATTGGATTTCGAAAGCATACCCCAAAAGCACCAAGGCCCATCACTGAAGACGATCTGCAGAATGGGCTTGAATGCCAGACTTTGAACCAAATATTGCTAGCAGAGGCTTGCGATCTGTGAGAGGGGTGAATCTGCGACCGTAAAAATCTTGTGTAAACGGCGAACAGCAAACACAAGGGCAAGAGCCTTTTTCTCTATCTGGCTGTAATTTTTTCTGCTTGAAATAGTGTGATGGATGCATGCATAACGGCTTTTTCTGATGCGTGTGTAAAATGGTGTGGAATGAGAGCACCTAGGCCATAATCTAAAGTGTCGGCAGCTACGAAGATTGGCATGGATGGATCGTAGTGTGTTAATAATAAACCCAAGCTAATTATGGACTTCAGTTTACAAAACGCCGCGTTACACTCTGTAGTCCAATTCCAAGTGCTGTTCTTCTGCAGCAGACAATTCAACGGAGCGCGAATATCATCTACCGAAGGAAAAAACGCCAGGTACTAACTAAGAAGTCCCACGAAGGAGAGTAGTGCCGAGACACTAGTGGGGGTGAGCATCAGCTTCATAGCTCAGACGTTCTCAGGATCCGGTCTGCAGCGGTCGGCATCAAAGATGAATCCCAAATACTATACCGGCTGCAATAAAAGTCGGCATTTCTATAGGCGCACCCGAAATCCATTGTCACTAATGGTTTCCAGTACCACTGTCGTGAGTTCCTGTAACTGTTCTAATGTCCTCAAAACAATTAAAATATCATTGAGATAGGCCACGACCCCCGAGATACCTGATAGGATGGTATTCATTATTTGCTGAGAGACAGATGTGGCGGTTTGAACTCCAAAACGGCAGGTGGTTATACTGAAATAAATCACGATGAATATTGATTGTAAGCAGCTCTCTTGATTCTTCATCTACTTCCACATACAAACAAGACTCACCACTTTGTAGATTAATGAGACGTTGGTATTCGTGAACCTTGTCACTAAGGGTGAGTTTAGGACCATGCTCCAGTCGACATAGTAGCCTTGTTCCCGTGTCATCGAACTTTTGAGACTGGAGGCTGCAAATGATTATAAGGGCTTTAAAGTGGTCTTTCGAGAAAGACTTCAACCGAAAGCGTTCTCATCCACGGTTGACGATGCCAACATGCGTAAGAAAATCATCATCTTCGTTCATCGCTAGCTTCAAACATCGATAACGCGTGTTAAACAGTGACCAGTTGTCGCCAAAGTGATGACTTAATGTCTGAACTGTCTCAGAAAATGAGAGATCTCGTGGATTCAAAGATTGGATCAAACTACTGTACTTGTCCAGCTTACTTGCACCGAACTTTCAAGTAGCAACCGAACCTTCCAAGCATCATCTTGCTTGGCGAAATCAAATTTAAATAGATCTTCATAACAACGTAAACACCTGTCTAAAGTAATATTGGCATCACGTTCATGATGAAACTCAGCAATGCTATTGGCGATGCCGTCTACTGATGGTGCTGAGGTTGTGTTAGATGAGCTAGGCTGTGTGGAGGGTAAAATCTTTTTATCTATCAACATCTGTATTGTTTGCAGCTTCTGTTAAAGTAATAATTTAAATTTGGAAGTATTCATGTTTCCAAAACCACTGTCGCCAATTGATAAGTTCGTTAACTGATATGCTTGAAACTATTACGAGTTCACATTACTCGGCGAATGAGAGCAAATCAATGATACACTGACGTGATAGACCATTCTGATTCGATTGTCTCCAGCCCTGTTAACTATAGTAAAAAATCTTGATAAGTGTTAGGAAGTGCATTCTACAAGCACCCAGAAAATCGAGATTTCCAAGCACACAAATTGACTTTATTTATACATGACAGAAACGTCCTTGGGAGAGCCTCAGAAATAGCGTACTAAAAAAACACGTCAACCAATGACGGTCAAGGATCTTCCAGCTGCATTCTGGCTGTCCACTGTTTTCCGCGCTTGCTCTCTGATGTTGACGTCTTCATAATCCAGAAAGAGAAAGGATGAGAGTAAGCAACCTTCTCTGATACCAATCTTCACATCGAACGAATCTTTGGGTAATCTTCCGTGCACGATTTAGCAGTTGAATCCATCATAAAAATTCTGTTTGATGTTGACTATCTTTTCGGGCACGCCGTAATTTCGAAGAAGCTTCCATAGTGTTGCATTTTCCACACTGCCAAATGCCTTCTCTTAGCCTATGAATTTGATGTATTGCGGTGAGCTCCCTCCAATTGACTCCTCCAGTAGAACCTCAGGGGCTGCTGCCAGTCCCAAGCCCGGATAAAGGAGGAGGGTTGGACATGGGGTTGGAGACCCCATTCCGTCGAAATCTCACTTGCCAAAAAAGCTAATCAGAGAAAATAATCCAAACCATTTTAATTCTGCCCTGGGAGTTGGAGGAAGAATTATGAAGACGCGTGATGAAAGCCGAGTTCCCTCGGAAGTCACGGGGTTGATGCCTCATCTCACAACCAGAGCAACCATTTTTTTAGGTACATGGAAACGTCGTACATTGTGGGAGACTGGAAGACCGTTTCAAGTTGCTGCAGAAATGAAAAGATACAACCTCGAGGTGCTCAGCATCAGAGAAACGCATTGGA